ACATTAAAGAAACATTAATTGAGGGACATTTTACAAATACCTGGTTAGTACACCTAAAAGCTGTCAAAATTATCAAAAATGAGAAAAATCAAAGAAGCTATAATAGCCAAGAGGAGTCTAAGAGACCATATGTGTAAGGGTAATGTGGAAATCTAAACGCAACCCTGGTTCCAGAAAAGAGACACAATGAAAAGCTGAGTAACTGAATAACTTGTGAACTTAGTTAATAATAACACATCAATATTGATTTATTAATTGTAATCAATGTTTGATACTACTATAGACATTGATAGAGAAAATGACATGTGGTATGGGAAACTTTATAATATCTTTTTTTCCTATATATGAAAACTTTTCTAAAGAGTAATGTTTATTAAATTGAAATGTAAACATATTACTATTTTCTATTCCACTAGTATATGACTATAATCCATTCCCTAGTGAATTTTGAGATATTTATGTAGTCCTGACACAGATACTAACAGTTTGGCTCTGTGCCTCCACCCAAATCTCACCTCGAATTGTAAGAATCCCCACATGTCATGTAAGGGACAAGATGGAAGGTAATTAAATCATGGGGGTGGGTTTTTCCTGTAGTGTCCTCATGATAGTGAATAAGTCTCACAAGATCTGATGGTTTCATAAAGGCGAGTTCCCCTGTGCATTCTCTCTCTTCCCTGTTACCATGTAAAATGTGACTTTGTTCCTCCTTTGCCTTCTACCACAATTGTGAGACCTCCTCAGTCATGTGGAACTGTGAGTCAATTAATCCTCATTTATTTATAAATTCCCCAGTCTTCAGTGTGTCTTTATTAGCAGCGTCAGAACAGACTAACAGCAAATTGGTTCCAGTAGAGAGGGGTGCTGTTGTAAAGATACCCAAAAATTTGGAAACGACTTTGGAACTGGGTAACAGGCAGAGATTGGAACGGTTTGGAGGGCTCAGAAGAAGACGGGATTATGTGAGAAAGACTGGAACTTCCTAGATACTTGCTAAATGGCTTTTTGACCAAATGCTGCTCATCTCAGATGGAGATGAGAAACATACTGGAAACTGGAATAAAGGTGACCCTTGCTATGTTTTAGCAAAGAGACTGGCTGCATTTTGCCCCTGCCATAGAGGTCTGTGAAACTTTGACATTGAAAGAGATGATTTAGGGTATCCTACAGAGGTGATTTGGGTGCTGTTAAAAGCATTTAGCTTTATGTATTCACAAAGATGTGGTTTGGAATTGGAACTTATGTTAAAAAGAGAAGCAGAGCATAAAAGTTTCAAAAAATTGCAGCCTGATGATGGAGTAGAAAAGACAAACCCATTTTCTGAGAAGAAATTCTAGCCAGCTGCAGAAATTTGCACAAGTAATGAGAAGTCAAATGTTGATCACCAGGACTATGGAGAAAATGTCTCCAGGGCATGGCAGAGACCTCTGCAGCAGCCTCCCCCATCACAGGCCTAGAGGCCTAGGAGGAAAAATGGTTTCCTGGGCTAGGTCAGGGGACCCCCTGCTGTGTGCAGCCTAGGGTCTTGGTGCTCTGCCTCCCAGCTGCTCCAGCCATGGCTAAAAGGTGCCAAGGTATATCTCAGGCCATGACTTCAGAGGATGCAAATTCCAAGTCTTGGTAACTTCCATGAGGTGTTGAGCCTATGGGTGCACAGAAGTCAGAAATTGAGGTTTGGGAAAACTTTGTCTAGATTTCAGAGGATGTATAGAAATGACATCATTGAGAAGCTCTGCTAGGACAGTGTGGAAAAGAAATGTGGGGTGGGAGCCACCACACAGAGTCCTTACTGTGGCACTGCCTAGTGGAGCTCTGAGAAGGGGGCCACTGTCCTCCAGACCCCAGAATGGTAGATCCACCAACAGCCTGTACTGTGCACCTGGAAAAGTAATAGACACTCAACACCAATCCGTGAAAGCAGCCAGAAGGGGAGCTGTACCCTGCAAAGCTATAGGAGTGGAGTTGCCTGAGGCCATGGGAGCCCACCTTTTGCATCAGCATGATCTGGTTGTGAGACATGGAGTCAAAGGAGATCATTTCTGAGCTTTAAGATTTGGTTTCCCTGCTGGATGTTGAACTTGCATGGGGTCTGTAGCCTCTTCATTTTGACCAATATCTCCCATATGAAGGGGATGTATTTACTCAATATCTGTACCCTCATTGTGTCTAGGAAGTGACCAACTTGCTTTTGACTTTACAGTCTCATAGGCAGAAGGGACTTGCCTTGTCTCAGATGAGAGTTTAGACTTGGACTTCTGAGTTAATGCTGAAATGAGTTAAGACTTTGGGGGATTATTGGGAAGGCATGATTGGTTTTGAAATGTGACGACATGAGATTAGGGAGGGGCTAGGGGTAGAATGGTATGGTTTGGCTGTGCGTCCCTACCCAAATCTCCCCTTGAATTATAATAATCCCCACATGTGGTGGAAGAGACCCACTGGGAAATACCTGAATCATGGGGGCAGGTATTTCCAGTGCTGTTCTTGTGATAGTGAATAAGTCTCACAAGATTTGATGGTTTTATAAAGGGGAGTTCCACTACACAAGCTCCCTTGCCTGCTTCCATGTGAGACATGGCTTTGCTCCTTATTCACCTTCTGCCACGATTGTGAGGTCACCCCAGCTCTGTGAAACTGTGAGTCAATTAAATCTCTTTTCTTTATAAATTACCCAATCTCAGGTATGTCTTTATTAGCACTATGTGGACAGACTAATACAGATGCCCACTGTTTTAATTTTCAATTTTTTCAAATATTTCTTTACTTGATGTGAGGATTACAATTTTTGGGAAACAAATTTCAAATCGAAATGGCTTATCACCTTTTACTACTTTCAAAAATAAAAGCTTCTGACATCAAGAATTTCTTGGGTTTTTATGGGAAAACAAATAGTACATAAAATCTATCATTTTAGTTGCAATGTTATGTATGACAACTTATAAAATGGACATATTCCCTATAGAGTATGTTTGCTACAACATTAAGCTTTGCTAAATACTGCATGCTATTTGTCATGTTTTGATTAGTGAAATATACAAAATATTGATGATACTAAATACTGTAAGAATTAGCTAGGAAAGATATTACACAAATAAATCATATCTAAATGTTTTGTTAGTGTAAGACAAATAGCTTTATAAAAACTATTTCAATAATGTACCATATGTTGATTTGATTACCAAGAATAATAATGATTTGTAAAAAGGAAATTATACATGAGTCACTACCATCCCTTGAGAAATTAAATATCAAAATATTTTTGAGTCTCATGTATAACTTCAACTCCCTGTACTTTTTAAAGAAGAACCTTATGATTTTGTATTTATTCAAATTTAATCTCTAAAGTCTTTCAGATGAGTAACAAATCAGTTTTGTGTTTCTAAACAAAATTAGTAGTTAGTTACCCTTTAATTTTTTAATAAAAATGCATTTCATACTCAGAAGAAAAAGTTCATTGATCAAATTATTAGACATGTAAGAAAGCAGCATATTAATCAGTGGTTACTTTTCAAGCATTACCTGTTGGAATGACTAATGCTAATTTAAATAGCTATTGTCTCACTTTTTAGACATCAGAAGTGTTTTTAGTAATATCCTTGACATTGAGATAAAATTCCTGCTAGTTATTTGAATCATCAATCAATATCTTTGTATACACACACACACATGCATACACACAACTATTTTTCTTCAAAATGCAACACAATTTTTATAAAGACATTTGCTTGATACAGGTTGATGGATACCATGATTTTTTAAGTAAACACAATTCTTTATGTTTTTTTTTCTAAAAAATGAGTCAATAAATTATGATACGTTTTATATATAGTTTATTTTAAAATAGAATCCAATTACGAGAAGGGAAGAGTTTTACGTAATTTTCAAGAATCAAGTGCTGTTGCTTGTTTGGCTGCCTTTTAAAATATTCTCACAAACTTTCTTAATATCATTGAAAAATATAGATAAAGCCTTACTTCATGAAGAAAAGTCATTATTCCTTCAGACTTATGTGTCATAAAATTCCTTTCTCATGCTAAGCTTCAGACGTTCCTGCATTAGGGTTAAACATAGGTCTTAGTTTGACATTTTGTGAATAACAAAGATCACACCTTTCATGTGACAAGGCTTATTTGAAGAAAATAAGTACATATCTTTCTCGACTTTCAGTTAATTATCTTTAAGTAAAATTTTTCTACATTCACCTTCCCAAAAATTGAACATATTTTTCTCACAATTTTATTTCTTTTATATCTGTTTAAAGATTGTGGTGCCCTTTAACATTTATGTTTGATCATGAGAACTATAAAAATTATAAGTGTTAATGCTTTAACTACTTTCTTAAAAAAAACCAAATAAACAAAAAGCACCTTCTTTTCTAAAATATCACAGACAAAGTATAACAAGTACTTATGGAAATAACAGGGTCAAGATCACATGACTCAAAATATATGCAACCATTAAGTTTGGCCTAAAGCTGCCTCCTTGTTAGTACAGCCTAAAAGTTTCTCTGTAAATAGGGAACTGTAACCTAACTGAATGTGTAAACAGACAATAGCTTACCCTTTCACTGATCACTGAATTTCAGTCAGTCACAGGTGATCAACTGTTCAAACAATGTTCAAATAAGAAAAAGTCAAACTATACACAATCCAATTATTTTGGTACCTCACTTTCATTTTTTGTACCTCACTTTCATTTTCTGCACATCACTTTCCTTTTTTTTGTCTGTAACTCTTCAACCGACTGGCAGAGCTAAAGTCTCTCTGAATCTATTCTGTTTCAGAAGGCTGCCTGATTCACAAATCATTCTTTGTTCAGTTAACCCATTTATGCATGAGGTTGCAATTTTTTGAATTTTTGCAATCAGACCTTGATGATGACTTTGAGCAGTAAGATATAAATAATTCCCATACGCTTAGCATTCCAGTAATAGAACACTAGACATAAAAGAGTTTTAAACTCTGTTGAATTTAATTTGTCTAAAGTTTCTCTTTTAACAGATGGTGTCAGAAGTTGGATCTGGACTAGAGTTTCTAGAGACTCACAGGAGCCTTAAGACCAAGCAAGGTGTTCGCTGGACCCATTGTGTCCATTACTCTCTCCCAGCAACTAAGGATTATGGGTAAGTAGTTGTCTCCAAGCTCAACAATTTATGTTTTGAGTATCTTAGGCTTGTTTGAATACATTTTTAAATCTGGAAATGGGTTTGGGCAAGTTTCAACAAAAATTAGGTTAGATCCAGGATTAGAATGGATTTGATGAATAGCGATTGGATCCCATTACAGGCCTCAGGTGTCTGACTGGGTCGACAGAAAGTGGCAGTAAATGGCAATATTGCAGAGTGTGGAATTCTATCTTCCAGAATTCACAGGATTTTTTTTTTAATATCTATTGCACTGTGTTTATTTCATGAAATCCTTCGGTAGAAAAAAAATCATAGTCCACTTAGTTGATCAGTATCTGACGCCAACATTAATTAATATAAAAATGGAATTCTTAATTCTGAGACTAAGTTACTTTCACAACTTTCTGGTTTATGCCCATCTACTTGCCAGTTTAAGGCCGATAGTCGCAACCACTTAGAAATGGGTGAAAATCTTAACTAAAGGTATATGTAGGAATCAACGTGGGGAGTATTCCAATGAAAACACATCCGCCCTTTAAGAAAGCCACCTTAACTGAAAACTTCAATTAGTCTTCTCCAGGCCCATGCCTACTGATATCATAAACTTTTTAAACGAATGTGAATTTTATGTCCCTTTTTCAAAAGATCCTTTATTATAAATGAAAATAAAAAGCTTAAGTGCTAAATATAAAATCTGATCTGCTTAACTTTTGAATTAGTTTACATCCCTGCTTGAAGTTGCAAGAAAACTATGGGTGGCTAACTGGTTAAAAATATCTGTTCCTTGGCCCGGGCGCGGGATGGCTCAAGCCTGTAATCCCAGCACTTTTGGGAGGACCGATGACGGGGCGGCATCACGAGTCAGGGACGAGACATCCTGGCTAACAATGGTGGAAACCCCGTCTCTACTAAACAATACCAAAAAACTAGCGGCGAGGTGCGGGCGCCGTGTAATCCCCAGCTATACGGTGAGGCTGAGGCAGGAAGAATGGTCTAAACCGGAGGCCCCCCCGGAGATTGCAGTGAGCTGAGATCCGGACCACTTGGCCCAGCCTGGGCGACAGAGCAGACCTCTTCCTCAAAAAAAGAAAAAAGAAAATATTATCTTCCGGTAAAGGCAACAGTTTGCCTTCTTTTTCAGATGGGTCCATGGGCTGATCCCAGGCATAAAGAATGGTATTTTCCCTATGTTTTAGTAGACCTCTATCCGGAGCCTTTTTTGTTGTTGTTAAGGAAACAGTAGCTAAGTTAAAGAAAACCACCTATTGAAATAAACAGTTCTCCAAAATACCTTTCTGACATTTACCTGTCTTGAAATCCTTCTTTAAAAGAAATTTGCAACTGTAAAGAAAATTTTAATTTGTAAGGGTGCCAAAGAGGGAAGACTGGGTTGAAATTCTTACCATTGTTTGAAATTGACATAAAAGTCCTACCTTTGTTCAAGATGCTTCTCTCAGCCATCTCATTTTAACTGGGTCTTTATGCACTACCTTTTTCCATGATTTGAATAAATGATTTTTCAAATATTTGAGCAATATTTAAAGCTAAAGTGTCAGCTATGTGCTTTTGAGAGACAAATTTTATACCTTGTAACACCTGAATCATCCCTTTAGAAATGTAAATTTAGTATTGTTTAGCTAACAATTGCTGAGGCCAAGGAAACAGGTCATTTGAGAGTTGATAGGCTGAATGGGGAAAAGAAAAACTATTTGAAAACTGGCAAATGAGAATTCTTTGTAACAGCTAAGATCTGCCTCTGTTTGTCTATATTTCTATAGGTGTTACCTGTGTATAATAATATTTGATAGAAATAGTTTTGAAATTCTTGGTACACTAAAATAGAAATGGCTTCGGAATTATCAGTTTAACATAATTCAGACATTTTTGCATGTGTCTACTGGTCAGACAGGTTATGTTGTCTCTGCTATGTGTTTTACAGTTAGGCAGGTTTATGTTGCCTCTACGTTGTGTTTTAAGGTTGTAAAACTGCTGCTTCTATAAACTTTTTGATACTTGCTTGGTATAATTGTTAGTCTATGTTTTCAGTATTGAGCTTCTTGATTCTAGGGTCAGGACAGGTGGCCAACGTGAGGCCTGGGAACATGTCCTCAGTGAATTCACTACCAGCTGCAAGGAAAAGTCAAACCCAGTATGACTCCTTCCTCTATGGTCCAACTTTGCCTCCTGGGCAAGCTGGGTGGGCTTGAACCCTCCACACATAGTCTTTACAGCTTTATCTTCTGTCTTAAGTGTGGGTTTGGAAGTTTCAACAAAAATTAGGCTAGATCCAGGATTAGATGGATTTGATGAATAGCTGGATTGGATCCCATTACAGGCCTCAGGTGTCTGACTGGGTCAGACAGAAAGTGGCAGTAAATGGCAATATTGCAGAGGTGTGGATTCTATCTTTCAGAAATTCACAGGAATTTTTTTTTTTTAATAATCTATCTGCTGTGTTTATTTTTCTTGAATTCTTCGGTAGAAAAAAAAATCATAGTCTTAGTTGATCAAGGATATCTGACAGCCAAAATTAAAATTAAATATAAAAATGGAATTCTTAATTTCTGAAGAACTAGTTACTTCACTTTCTGGTTATGCCCACATTTACATGTGCAAGTATTAAGGCCCAGAAGCAGCAAACACTTTTAGAAATGGTGAAATCTTACTAAAGGTAATTTAGAAATCACAGTGGAGTATTCCAAATGAAACACACCACCCTTTAAGAAATGCACTTAAAAATGAAAACTTCCAAATTAGTCTTCTCCAGGCATGCCTACTGATATGCATAAACTTTTAAAAAGAATATGAAATTTTTATTTCCTTTTTAAAAGATTCTTTATAAAATGAAAATAAAAAGCTTAAGTGACTAATAATAAAAATCTGATCTGCTTAACTTTTGAATTAGTTACTATCCTGCATGAAGTTGCAGAGAAAACTATGGTGGATAAACTGTTTAAAAAATATATGTCTGGCCGGGCGCGGTGGCTCAAGCCTGTAATCCCAGCACTTTGGGAGGCCGAGACGGGCGGATCACGAGGTCAGGAGATCG